TCTCCCATAACTTTTTAGGGAACCCATCTATGCCCGGCGTCTTCTCCTCATCCATCTGCATCATCGCCGTCCAGATTTCGTCTTTGGACAGGGGACGATCCAACTCTATTTTTTGCTGGCTCGTCAGGGTCTTCTCAAGAGGTTTTAGGAATTCTTCGATTGCTTTCTCCCTGATGTTTATCTACACCTTTGTGTGCACCGAGAGGTGAATAGATCCTTGAAGATGGATCTTGCTATCTGCACACATTGGGGGGTGGAGGCAACAATATTGTGATGACCGGTCTGTGGATTGTAAAGAGCTTCTATGGTAGATCTGTGTGCGCGTTCACGGGCCATACTAAAGAATCTTTTATCCATGGTCCCCTCCGTTTGGTGTCGTGCCAGTCTCCCTCTGATGCGAGTTCCCTCCCAGCGTTGTGTAGCAAGCATCTGAAGTTGTTGTTTCAGTGTCTGTGCTCTTGAATCTTCCCCTTGCTGAGTCTGCTGAGTTTCGTGCGAGCCATGTGCGTCATCAAGTTGATCTTGATATTCTAGTTGTTGCAGTTGCGGGTGCGTTTCCATCTTTTGTTGATGCTTCTTGGCTGCTAAACGTTTGGAATACTCGTGGCATTTTCTACCCAGATAGAACAGTCCATTATTAAACCAGTCTATTTCATGTTGGATATACTGTTTTTGTGTGCGCCAAAAGGTCCAATAATCTGTGATATATTCTTGGAAAGTCTGTTGTTGTAAGATGAAAGTGTTAAGTTTGTAGAAGCCCGGACCGCGATCTGGTTTCTTGAGGAAGGATAAAATGACCGTGCACATTTTATGATCCAAACCCGGGTAGGGGCTGGCTGGTAAGATCGTTGCGCGAGAAGCAAAGATCCTTCCAGATCTTTCGATGTCAGGATTAAATCGATCCTGGATCTCGTTTGGTTCTCCGTCCCAGTTTTACGCAGGCATGCGTAATATCTCGTGTTTGAGTTTAGCCTGTGGAAGGTGTCTAACACTTTTAATGATGGGCATAATTCGCTGATTATCCGCTCATCCTCCTCTACATACCACGGGGCAGGGGAGGGTGTTCGCCATCTATCCATCCACCGGTCGGGGTCTGCGTTGCAATCCCTCGCTATAATGACAGGGACCCCATCCAGAATTTGCGAATTGATATTCTGAAAGAAAAAATTCCTTTCATTTACAGCATTGGGGGCATAGATACACAGTATGCATACAATTTCAAGTTCCAAGGCGACCAGGATTGACACCTTCCTCCTGATCCATCACCCAATGTATCGGATCTACCTGGGACTCGTGGGGAATCCAAATGGCCACCCCTGCGCTCCCTGGTTTTGGGGCATGGGCCCTGAAAGCCCTATATGGCCAGACTATTTCATGTGTGCGGTTGTGTTCTGGAGTGTCCATCAAGTGTGTTTTCTGGACACATACTATTTCCGGCCAGTTTCTGCCCCCCACCCCTCGTATTAGGTCCCGGATTGCATTGTGTTTTTCGGGTTTGCTCGAGGCCAGACCATTCACATTTAGTGACTGCAAGTCTAGGTCTGCTGCCCTCTTGCATTGGTTCCAAATGCGGTCTTTTCCGTATACTGCTTTGACCGGGTCCATTTACTTGCCTTGTAATCGTATCCTAGCCCAAGATGGGTCGCAAACGGGTTCACGACAATTGTTCCCATTCCCAATCTGGGGCCCCCGCCGTCATCCTGAGAAGCGCACATAAGCTTCTCTGAACGTCGTGCTCGGTCCAGGTGTCGCTGTGTCTAATCCTGACCGTCTGCAGGTTTAGCAGTTGACTGTAGGTGTGCCATCTCAGACTATTCTCCTTGGTGAGATCGAAGCGTATGTATACGTCCCTCTACGCAATCTTGGTGGGGCCTGTTGTAATCGCAGCCATAGCCTGTGCCCCAGGCGGTAAGGCCTCTGCAATGTAGGATTCCAGCTGCATTCGCAGAATCTCAGCAGCTGCCTCAGTCGCGCAATTTTTTGGGTTCGCCCAAAATGACGACCAGCCTTGCAACGTAACACCCCCTAGTGTACAGTCTTAGGAGTCATAGGGTTAGTATAGGTCGTAACTGCTACAGTTCCGAAAAGTCCACGACCTTCTAGAAGCTTTAGAACTGGCTCTTTAGGTCTTAGGAGTCAGTCCGCTGCTGAGTCAGCAAAGGGCAGTCCTAGCCCAGTCAGCAAAGGGCAGTCCTAGCCGAGTCTCACTTAGCCTAGTCAGCGGTACCCAGTCCCAGGGTAGGCTTTGTCTAGTCAGCAAGTACCATGTGGGACTGTGTACGTCCCGGGCTCAGGGTCCAAGGGCAGACCACCAGCGATCCAAAGTATAAATGAAGAGGCAGTGTCAAGTCATTCATTGATTCTACCTGTGAGCCGTGCGGAAGCGCTGTCGGAGCGTCTTGTGCTCGTTAGGTCTGCAGGTGCCCGAGGGAGAAGAGGGCTAAGAGGAGGTAGACGCTGCCATTGCCGCAAGTTAGCATAGGAGGGAGAAGGCAGCCATAGCTGGCATGTAGGATAGTGTAGGGAGTGTGTATGATTCGAGTGTGTGCGTGTGTGGGACATTCAGAGTGATCTGAGTGTGTGTGTGTGTGTGTGTGTGTGTGTGTGTGTGTGTGTGTGTGTGAATAAGTTGCTGGTGGATACAGTTGATCGGGTGGGAATCATTGTGTGGCTCCCTGCGCCATAGCCATTGAGACAAGTTTGCATCTGAGCTGTGTTCCTGGCCACATCTTATCTCTGAGCTTTGTGTGGGCACGACACGCCAAGTCTTGTTCTTCATCTGTTTGCATGCACGCTGAAGCGAGTGAGACAATTCTGATTGCAGAACGTGGCCCAGGGCACAATTGGTTAGGGCCCTGGGCGTGTATAGCAAGAGCCTGGAGGCCGACAGGTCGCACAACGGCTGTGGACCAATGAAAATGCAGCTGCGTTGTCACACACTGGTTATGAGCCAATCAGAATGCGGGTAACACTTGGAATCTCGTGGCATACCTGTGCGTGCCCAACTGCATCGGGCCCAGGCCAGTATCTGGACTGGAGCTGGGGCGCCGACACTTTGGTCCGACTTGAAGCTACCAGAAACTCCCACGAGCAGGCCCAGGCAGTCAGAAGCTGCCAGCACTTTCCATAAAGGAAAGTGCCTGCCTCATGGTGAGGCATTCTGGCCGTGTGCTTGCTGGTGCAAGCGGTGCTGGTTTGAGCGCAGGAGGCCGCTGGTAGGCCAGGGGCTGGAGGGCGCACACGGGCGCTGTTGGTGGGTGCTGCATGGGGCCAGCGCTGCAGCCTAGCCTACGATAGCGGGGTTGGGGCTACGGGAAGCCAGTGGAGGTGGTGTTGGTCTTCGGAAGTGGAGGAGAAGCTGTGGGTGAAGACGAGGGTGGGCATTGAGAGGGCGAGTGATGGGAGAGATATGAGAGCATGTGCCTTGTCCTGGCGGAGGTCTGGTTGGTCGACATCTGCATGTACTTCGGTTGCTGCTGCTGACGTCAACGGGTTGCTTTGTCATTTCAGTAGGCTAGCTTAGTATCTGTATGATCGTGGTCTGGGCGCTGAGCGCCAATAGGAGAAAGAGCTGCAAGCTCATTGTTGGTGGTGGTGAGGGAAGGCTTTCACGGACATTTGAAGTTCACTGCTTGGTTCTCCTTTGGTGTGACGTCAGTGCATTCCTGCTTTCTGGACAGCTTAGGACTATCTGGCTTTCAATGTGATAATTCAATTTGGATTCTGTCATTTCGCTATTGCTCATTTTCCTTGCAAATAGTCGAGATGGGGAAAAAAAATCTCAGTGTACAAAAAAAGTGAAAAAAAAGTATAAAAGTTACCCTGTCGGGTTAGTGGTCATAATGAAGTGGTGGCGCGTGGGGAGCATAGTTTTCGAGGAACTGACTTTCATCTGATTTTATTTTTGTTTATTTATATTGCAAGGAAAATGAGCAGGTGCTAATGACAGAAATCCAAATTACAACATCATATTGAAAGCCAGATAGTCGTGAGCTGTCCAGAAAGCAGAAATGCACCAATATACCACCAAAGGAGACCAAAGCACGAATTCGGTTGTCAACATCAGCCCAAACCTCTCCACCATCAACAATGTGTCCAATGTCTCAGCGCCCAGACTACCATCACACAGCTCCTATACCAGCCTACACTATGATGCCGCAACCAGAAGACTTCAGCAGCGGAACATGAAGTACGTGCAGATGCCGCCCATGCAGACCTCCACGATGAACCAGGTATGTCCTCCTCCTGAAGACCACCACCAGACCCCGCTGACCCTCCTGAGACCCAGCCCGGCTATGGCTGGCTGGGCTTTGCGCTGCGCCCCAGCAGCGCCTTACACCTCCTGTGCTCGCATGCGCTCGCCCAGGCCCTCGACTCGCGGCTCACTAGCGCGCAGAGTGGCAGCGCTGCCGCAATGCATGAAGTGCCTGTGGTGGGCACTTTTCTTTACAGAAAGTGCTTGCCTCTGGTAAGCAGCCTGGGCCTGGCAACCGTGTATCCAGAAGCTTCACGTCGGGCCAAAGTGTCTGTGCCCAGGGGCGATTTAGATAGTGACCTGGGCCCGAAGCAGTTAGGCGTGCCCATCTGTGCCACATGGCTTTTGTCACTCGATGCGTCCGGATTGGCCGAAAGGTCAACTTCCATGTTGCTGCCTGGAAGAGCCTAGAAGGGACAGGAGGTCCTGGTCACACTGCATGCACGTCCCCGAAACCAACTGGCACCCAGTAACTATCTGGCGCCACCCCCATAAGGCCAAAAATTGGCTGCCACAAAAATACAGGCGCGCTGGCACTTAGGGTGGGCAGGCGGTTTGTTGAGCAGGGGGCCCAGGTGGCTTGCGAGGGCTCAATCCCTAGCAATATTTGCTCTGTAGCACTGGGTTAGAATTTCGGAATTTCAGTTTTTCTTTTTTCTCTTGCGGGGCGAGGAGTTTGTTTTTCGGAATTATAACAAGTTGTGAATGTCCATGCAATTTGCCAATTTCGCTTTGAACTTTGCAGGAGGCTGAAGAGGTAGAGGAAGAACTTGGCAGTGAGGGGGGAATGGAGGGCAGGTAAATAAATCGAATGAACAACAATATATATTTCACTTGGCTGCTGAATTTAATTTGCCCTTTTTATTTTTATCCCTTGCTCCTTTTTCCTCCTCCTCCTCTTCTTCTTCTTCTTCTTTGTCTTCTTTGTCTTGTTCGTTTTGTGCTTTTTTGTTGCTGTCCTGCTTCTTCTTGCACTTACTAAAGTGGGAATCCACAGTGGTGTATTGCTCTTTTTCTTAGTCTCCTCCGTCTTCTCGATTTTTCTTCTCCTCCTCCTCCTCCTTCTAACTATCTAGATCATATGGGCCCATTTCTCTCTTCTTGTTCTTCTTCTCTGGCATTGTTGTCATGCCCATTTTCTTCTTCTTCTTCTTCTTCTTCTTCTTCTTCTTCTTCTTCTTCTTCTTCTGCTTGGGCTTTTACTACAACTAGGAACTCTTAGTTGTGCTCTTTTTCTTCATCTCATTCATATTCTTGTTTCCCCTCCTCTTCTTCTTCTTTCTCCTCATGTCTTGCTTTCACTCCTGGCTCTCTTCCTTGTGTTTGCGTCTGTTGAACAAGCTTTGTGTTCTTTCCCGCTTTGGTGTTCCCTCTCGTCTTTCTTTTCCCCTTGTGTATTCTTCACTTGCTCCTCCTCACAAATTCAACCAAAAAACAGAAAAAATAGAAAAAGAAATCAGTATTTTCTCCGAAAACTGGATCCTTTGCTGGCTCTCCCTGTTCGTCTGAATCTTAATCGTTTCCTTTTATTTTTATTTTTAAATCCAATTCAGGGTTGCATCCCTGCTGACCGCCGACCATATTGCAGCAGACCAGTTGGGCCGACCGGTCGGCGGTCTGCCGACCAGTAAAAAATAAAAATAAAAAAAATAAGAAATAAAAAATAAAAACGTCCGCTGATGTTTTTTCAAATCTGAGTTGGGGGCTGTACTGCACTTGCTGAGTACAGCCCAAATCCGCTGAGAAACTCTTGGGGATGGGGTTGGATATGGGGGGGTTGGGGTTGGAGTATAGG